CCTCCGTCTGGGCCGCCGTCCCCGGGAAAACCTTCGTCAACATCACGGTAGTGCGAGGCCCGCGCGCCCCGGGGCACCGGCCGGCGCGGACGCGGAGAGGGAGGGACTCGGGTGGGGGCGGGCGCGGTCCGGGGAGGGCGGCGAGGGGCCGCGACCGGGTCCTCGCCCCTGGAGGCGGCGCGGATGGCGGCCGCACGTGAGCGGGCCCCCCGCTGCGCCCGAGACCCCGCGCCCCGGGGCGGCGGCGCCCAGCCCTCCCGCCGCCCCGCTCCCCGCGACGGGGCGTTACATCCGGGGCACAGGGCGGGGAGGGGCGCGCCGCCCGGTGCGGAGGCCCACTTCCGCCTCGTCCAGGGCGGGGCGGGCACGCGCGGCGGGCTCGGCCGGGCACGGACACCCGGCGGGCGCGGGGGGACCCCCGGCCCCGCTTCCGGCGGCCGGCTCGCGCCCCGCCACCATTGTTCCTGCTCCCGGCTGCGGGAGGCAGCCTCGGCCGGCCGGGGTCCCCCGCCCTCCCGGCTCCGTTAGAGAGGGCGAGGCCGCCCCACGCCCCCCCCCCCCCCGGGTCGGCACGCCGTGCGCCCCGCATTCCTGGGAGGCCCGTCCCGGAAGTCCCCTCGCCCTCCCTTCCCGCCATCCGGCGGGGCCCGGAGCGGGGGAACTTTGTGAGAAGTTGCAGGGCAGCGCGAGTGAAGGCATGAGGGATGACCGCCGCTGTCCCCATCACCACCTCCCCGGTCCGCACTGCCCGGAAGTGGGGAGGGGGAGCGGAAGTTCGGGAGGGGGGGAAGGGGATTTCCGGGCGGGAGGGGACCGGATGTGGGGGTTTGGGGTGTTCGGGGGAGGGGGAGAGAGGTTCCCTGGGGTGGCTGGACCTGAGAGCTGGGTGGCCGGCTCTGGCCCCGCGCCCCCTTCCCAAGTTTGCCAACTTCCCCGGAAAGCCCCCGGGGATCCGCTTCATCCTCTCGGGGCACAGCTACCTGGACTTGGACCCGAAGTCACTCGGAGACCCAGGCGTCCGGGCCCCTAACAACTCCTGCAGAACCTTTGACCAAATAAGGGCAAAGTTGCTTCTCCTGCTTCGCCCGCCCCCTCCCTTCCCCTCTTCGCTTCTGCTTTTCCTGAAGGAGAGTGGTGTGCATCCAAAGGCTCCCCATTCCAGGCCACGCCACTCTCCTCCCTGGCTTTTGGCTCCCTTTATTTCTTGGGTTTGCTTTAACTAATAAATGAGACCGAAGTGTCCCGAGGAACGTGTAGTCTCTTTCTACGACCATTTTCTCGGTTGGAGAACCGTGGTCTTGTGCCCAGGCTTTCAGCAAGCTTCTCAGATCCCATAGATGTGCCGAAGCGCAGGACCTACACCCCTTCTGGGGGGAGGTGTGGAGGGCAGGTGGGTCCTTGAAGCGGGCGGGAACCTCGGTGTGCTGACTCGGATGGCTGCTCTCCCTTCCCTTTCCAGCCAGCTGAGGTTGGTGTCCTGGTTGGCAAAGACCGGTCAACTTTTTTCGTGAACGGGCTGACACTTGGGGGCCAGAAATGTTCTGTTATCCGGGACTCACTGCTGCACGATGGGGAATTTACCATGGATCTTCGTACCAAGAGCACCGGGGGAGCCCCCACCTTCAACATCGCTGTCACCATGACTGCCAAGAGTGAGTTTCCGACTCTGCACCTTCTCTCCAGCTCCGAGACCCCTCGTGTACCTCCCATTAGTCTTCGGGGTTCTTTTTCTGCCTGGTTCCCCGGTACGAAGGGGCTCACACCAGCCTGCTGAACGCTGGGACTCTGGATAGTTCCTGCAGTTCTCAGTTCCTTCTCTTGTAACATAAAGATGAACTGTATTACCTCTTAAGTTCCTTCCTGCCCCTGAGCCTTTTCAGAGGGGAAACCCTATTTTTCTTGGGAGAGGTAGATGGGTGGTCAGAAGTTGGCACTGAGCTGTGTTTTGAACTCTTTTGTTAAAACATGGCAGGCTCCACCAGGGTTATTTCTAGCCTGAATCCCAGTCACCGGTCTGCCAGCCTTTGGGCCCTGAATTTTAGCATAGCCCCCTCCAGCTGGAAGCTTGATTTCCCCCTCTTGAAAAGCCCTATTGTTTCAGAGTGACTGACAGCCTGCCTGTGTGGGGGGGGGGGGGGGGGAGAGAGGAGGTTGGGTTACAGCCCCCAGGGCTGGACAGCTGCTCAACAGCTGGTAGGGGGAATTGTGACACCTGGGTCCTAGCCTGCTCTCTCTCTCCTCCAGCGCTAGTCCTGCTGATGGGCAAAGAAGGTGTCCACGGTGGTATAATCAACAAGAAATGCTATGAAATGGCCTCCCACCTGCGGCGTTCCCAGTACTGACCTCGTCCGTCCCTCCCCACCACTCCCCACGGCTTTTGCACCCCTCTCCTTCCCAGACACACACATAACACCATTTTTATTTTTTGGGCCATTACCCCACACCCGTTATTGCTGCCAAAACCACATGGGCTGGGGGCTGGGGCTGGATGGACAGACACCTCCCCCTACCCAAACCCCTCCTGTGTGTGGTTGGAAAACTTTTTTTGGGGGGTTTTTTGTTTTTTTTTGTTTTTCTGAATAAAAAAGATTCTACTAACAAGGTGCTGTGTGGTTTGGCCTGGGCGTCAGGAAGGACGGTCCCCGACACCAGCCCCCTTATGTTAGCCTTGGGTTAGAAGAGGGTTGAGGGCAGTACAGAGTCTCGGAATTGGAGCTTCCGCAGTCCTGCCTTGGGGTAAGCACCTGCCTGAGGCCCACCTGGCCGGGCGGCCCAGCCCTCCCCCAGTGGCATTCCCAGCCCTAGGTCCTCAGGTGCTCGCGGAGTTGGTAGATAATGGAAGAGTCTTCCAGACCAGAGAATGGGCCCAGGCCTGCGGGCAAGGCAGGGCCGGGTGAGTCATGGCTGTGTGGGTGGGGCTCCCCCCTCTGAGTCACAGTGAACGCCTGCCGGGTTTGTCCCCATGGCTACAGGTGATTCTCCCCCAGCACTCCCCTGCCCCTTTATGGCAAAAAAAAAAAAGGGGGTCAGTTCTCCAAAAGGGTAAGGAGTTCACCTCTGAGAATGACCTCACCCTTCCTTAGTTCGCAAAAACAATTTTATTAACCCAGTAGGTGAGGACCCAGTCCCTTTCCGCCCCCAGCCCCCTCAAGAGGGATGGAGGAAGGGAGACCCCGGGGGCAGCAATGTCCCCCATCCCTCCACACACAAGACTGGGGGGCGCGGGGGGGGGAAGGGACCATCAGACCAGGAGCGCAGCCGAAGGGGAGGGGGGTGACGGTGGGGGGTCCGTTGGAGACCCCGGGAGGACAAGAGGGGTTGGAGCCAGGGAGCCAAAGGAGGTGGGAAGCGTGGGACTGGAGCCCAGAAGAGGGGTCCGCTCTGTGGCAGGCTGGTCCCCTGGACCCCCGTCGTCATCACCCTCTTGCCCCTGAGCTTCGTCCTCCCCCGGACCCCGGTGGACAGGCTGCTTGCAGATGGGACAGGTCTTCCGGGTCTGGGTGAGCCAGGGGTCCACGCAGCGGCTGTGGTAGGCTGCGAGAGGCAGGAGGTGAGGCACCGGGCGCCCGCAGGGGCGGGGAGGCTGGGGACGGGGGCCAGGAGGGGAGGGCCTCACCGTGAGCACAGGGCAGCACCCGCAGCTTGTCCCCATCCTCATACTCGTCCAGGCAGATGGCACACACGTCATACTGGTCTCCTGGCGCAGGAAGACAGGCCTTGCACCGAGCCGCCCTGGCCCAAGGCCCCCAGGGGCTCTGGGAGCCGTGGAGCCGAGCCCTGCCACTTACCCTCCCTGGCTTTGCGGAGCCAGGAGAAGCACTGGCAACGGGCAGGGTGAGGCCAGAGGAGGACATGAAGAATCTGGGGTCAGGAGGGAAGTGGGTTTCTGGCGGGGAGGTGTAAGCGTGAGGAGACAGCGCGAGGGGCGGAAGTGGGGGGCAGGGCTTCTGCCGTAGCCTTAAATGGGCACTGGAGGTTCCAGGGCCTAGAGACCCAACCCCCCCTTACCTGTTTCTTCCTTCCCACACCAACTCCTCCCGACTCCTTCCACCTCTCTGCTCTTTTACCACCCTTGGGGGCAAGCTCAGTCCTCCCTCTCTGCCCTCAGCTCTTGGGTTCAACCATCTGTGCTTTCTGCCCCCCACTTCCTGTCCCGACCGCACCGTCGTGCGTAAGGGTAAAGAGAAGGAAAGCTGGCATCCCAGGCTGACACCCGCCATCTCTGCCCCTTGTCTCCTGAGCGCCACTTCCGCAGCACCAGGTGAGCTGTGGGAAAGGCCCCCGTCTCTCCCCAGGCCCCTCACCCTTCTGATAGTCATGTGTAGGAATCTGTTTTAGTTGTTCTTTGGTCAGTCGATTCCGCTGGAGCCGCTTCCGGTGCTGGACACAACGGACTACCTGGCGAAAGGGGGCGCGGTCGGATCCGAGTTAGGGAACAAAGCCGGGCAAATCCAGTACGACCCCCCCGGCCCCCCGACCCTCCAACCTCCCACGCACGGACCCAGTCTGGCTTGAAAGACTCCAGCTCTTCCCATCACCCTCCCTGAGCTACTCACCATCACTGCTCCCATGGCCAGAACCAGCAGGCCCACGATGCCCGTGAAGGGGATGAGGTAATACCCCAGAGGGAAGCTATTGTCTGGGACCAGAAGCACCCGAGCCCTGGGAAAAGGAAGACCAGAATCAGAGGAACGGGAAAGGCAAAGGGACGGAGTAACTGGTGCTGGACGAGGCCCACGGACAGGGAAGGAGGTGGGAGGAAAGTCTCGAGGCAGAGTGAGAAGGACCTAAGGCTGCATGGCCAGGGCACGGAGGCGTGGGCTCCAGGCTGGCATGGAAGGACTGAAGGCAGAGTGGGAAGGAGGGACGTGTCCTACCCCTTCTCGTAGACAAAGAGGGCACGCAGGTACTCGGAGCTCCTCTCCCCAATAAACACAGACGGGATCCAGATCTGCTGCTGGATTTCCTCTGCAGGGAGCAGTGCATGACGCTGCAGACCCAACCCTCCACTCCGCTCCCTCGTTAACCCTGGCACTTGGCTTTTGCTCCATCCCACCCCAAGGACTAACCTGTTTTCCCCAAGGTCTCAGCCACCGCCCGCCCGCCCCGGTCTGTCTGAACTCTACCGAAACCCAGCTTGTCCAGGTGCCCCAACCTTACCGCTGTTCCACACCATGTTCAGAAGCTCGTTGGAGTTCACGTTGTGGACCACAGCTGCGCCATACCCTGCCTTCTGAGCATTTAGGACCTAGGGGGACAAGGCAGGGGATAAGGGGCCATCGTGGCCCTTGCCTCCCTTCGTTCCGGGTGCCTTTTGTCACCCTCAGCTTCCCAGCCCCCACTCCACATTCAGCAACCTTGAGGTCAAAGTTGCAGTCGAATCTTCGAAGCAGTGCAATAAAGACTGACCCGTTGACCCGGGCTGGGGGTGGAGGGGCAATGGGGCTGCAGGCATTGGCCGGGTGAGCCTCCACAAGGAAGCCCTGGGGAAGAGAAGCAAACAACAGTTGGATTTCACCTCCTTAGGTTCTGCTCCCCACAGGGTCCCACCAAGCATACTGGCGGCCCCATGCTGCACACACTCTGCCCCTCGCTTCCTCACCCCTGAGCATCCCACCCCAGTCAGAAGTCCACCTCCTGAAGAGGCGAGGACATCGAACCACCACCCTTGGCCAGACCTCCCATCATCCCTCTCCCTGTCCCAGAGACGCCTACACCCCACACTCCAAGCTAATTCAAATTCTCCTGCCTTCCGGTTTCCCAGATCATAAACCAACTAACTCTCCGCCCAGCCGTGTCACTCCCTCTCAAGCTCGTGTCCCATCCCCATCTCCAGCACTCCAGCACACCGCCACAAAACGTACTCCCCGCTGTTGAGAAAATGGCAAGAGGCCCCAAATGGGGTCACTGGTGCTAAGCCCCAGAGCACCAAACCAAGACTTACCCCCTAACTGAATTAGCTCCAGCCTCCCCCAGGAACGGGACTGTAAACCAGTCCATCCGGAATTAGCCGGTCAGACCTCGCGAGGTCACCTGCCCCACAGACCCCTGCCCGCCCCTGAAGAGAGCCGATCTTGCCACCATCGCTCTAGCCGCTAGCATAACTTACTTGTCCTGCCACCTCGTGCCTACCAAAGTTTCTCATTTCCGTACAGCTCTTCGAAGCTCCTTTCTATCTGCTACATGGGATGCTTCCCGATTCATGAACTGTTGACTAAAGCCAATAAGACCTTGAAAATCCCCACACTTACATTACCGTTCACCACGTTCAATGACCCAGCCCCCCACCTAACGAACAGCTACGCTGACACCCACGGCCCACTGAGCGCCTGCCAGACGGCAGTCTTCGCGACGAAGCCCTCCAAAACTGCTTATGTAACCTGACTCTGGCAATAACCCTGAGGAGACTCCTCTCGTCCCATGGTCCCATGGTCCCGGAAAGCAAACTCAGCTGCAGAGAGCGAATTAACTCGCGCGACGTCGTAAGACCCCGCTGGTAAGCGGCCCTTCGCCCCGCAGTCTCCTTCCAGCGCCGCTCCAGAGGGCCCCGAGTTGTGCCAGCAGGAGACCTTACGTCTTCTCCCTCCGGATTCCGAATCCCGCCCTCCACGTGCTCCCGCGCGTGGTTCCTAACCTGCCTCCAGCTTCACGCAAGGGGCGAGGCTCCTCAACCCCCCCCCCCCCCCCCCAGGAGAGAGGACAAAAAAGGAAGGCACCTGCAGCCCCTCCTGGCTCAGGGCGGCTCCAAAGAGCGCGGGCAGGTCTGCGAAGTCCATGCTGGTATTGTGGTCCGAGGTCTGCGGACGAGAGAGCCCGTGTCCCCCGGCGCCGGCAGCCCCGCCCTCCCGCGCCCTTCCCCCGCCCGCCCCTCGACTCACCGCTCGGATGAGCCCCCGCGCGGGGGACGCTCCCCACAGCACGGCGGCCACCACCACGGGAAGCGGGAAGGCCGCGGGGTGCATGGCCGCGGGCGGCGAGAGGCCGAGGAGGCCACGTCCCGGCAGCAGGAGCAGAAGCGGGGTTCTGCGCCCTCTCCGCCCCTCCTCCAGGCCCCCAGGGGTCCAACCACCCCCAGGCCCCACTTCCCAGCTACATGGGGGCGCGGGGGAGGAACCCCGAGTCCGGGAGCGGGGCACCCCGCCCGGTTAGTGGAGCGGGCAGAGACGCACTAAATGTATCCTTCTCGGGTACAGGGACAAAACCGGGAGCGGGGACCGAGGCAAGCACAGGTGACAGAAAACTTCTGGGAGGGTGGGGGCGTTCGGGGAGGCGGGACTTCCGGGCAGGTGAGCTGTCTTCCTCACTGCGGGGAAGGGGCTTCCGGGAAGGAAAGGCAAGCCGCCTCCAGCATTGGGCGCTCAAGAGGAAGGACTTCCGGTCCTAAAAGGCCCGTTCAAAGAAAGCTTAGAGGCGGAGGGCGTGCCTGTGCAGATGCAGCGAGCGCCGAAGCCCCAGAAAACGATCCAGCCGTTCCCCCTCTCGTGCCCGGGATCTTGGAGCTGCCCGATTTGCAAACCTCTTCCCTCTCTCTGACCGCCGCCGCGGCTGCGGGACCTTCAGGTCTCGCGAGAGCCCTCCCCACACTTTCCCTCCCACCCGCCGAAGGCTTGCTGCGCCTATCGCGAGAGAACCGGCCCCCATTTCCCCCCAGCCCCCGGCTCACTCCGTCTCGCGAGATCTCCTGACACCCTCTTCATTTTCCCGCGAGTCCAATTCGGCGAAAAGTGCGTCTAAGCTATGGCTTCCTCAGCCAGCCACACCCCTTCCCGCACCCCCACGCGGAGCCCCGCCTCCGGCTCCGCCTTCCTCCCGGCCGCCTTTGCGCCGCGCGCCTGCGTCTGCGCCGGCTTCCAGCTGGGGCTGGCCGCGAGAGCCGGAGGGGCGTGCGCGCGCGCCCTCGGCCCTGTTGCGCGCGCGGTGTCACCTTGGGCGCGAGTGGGGCCGCGCGCGCACAGGACCCGGAGCCGAGGGCCACCGAGCGGCGATGGCGGCCACGGCGAGTCCCGGGGCCGGCGGGATGGACGCGAAGCCCCGCACGTCCCCGAAGTCCGTCAAGTTCCTGTTTGGAGGCCTGGCCGGGTAAGCTCAGGCCCCAGGGTTGGGAAGGGAGGAGGAAGGGACGGGTGCAGGGAACCGAGCCGGCACGGGGTCAGCGCGGTCCCAGGCGTATTGCCGAGGTCCTTGATGGGCTGCCAGGACCTTTTCACCCATTGCGGGGCCCCTGCTGGGCTGCGTGCAGGCCCGTTGCTCAGCTCTCCCGGGTCGTGTAGGGTTCCAGGTCCTTGTATGGCTCCTGTCGGGCTGCGTGAAGTCCCAGGTCACGAATGCCCACCTCTCTCTGGGGTGGACTGCAGGCAGTTCTGGATCACTGCTTGACCCCCTGGGAGCTGCATGGAGCACTTTCGTTGCACGGCCCCCCGCGGGACCACTGGACTTTTAAGACCCATGGCTCTTGGCCCAGGCGGACACTTACACACGTTAGCCACTAGCCTCCTGAACACTTAATTGTACATTCTTTTTTTTTTTTTTTTTTTAAGCAATCTCTACTCCCAAGGTGGGGCTTGAACTCACAGTCCTGAGATCAGGAGTTGCATGCTCTATCGACTGAGCCAGCCAGGTGCTGGCTTGAACACTTAATTAATCATGGGGCAGGCCTGGCACTTTGTGACCCCTCGTTGCCAGGTTCCAGTGGGCACTGATAGGTAGTCAAGGGACACTCGACCCTGGATTCTGCTTCTGTCTTCTTCCAGGATGGGAGCTACAGTGTTTGTGCAGCCGCTGGATCTGGTGAAGAACCGGATGCAGCTGAGTGGGGAAGGAGCCAAGACGCGAGAGTACAAAACCAGCTTCCATGCCCTCACCAGCATCCTGAGGGCAGAAGGGCTGAGGGGCATTTACACCGGGTACTGCAGCCACTGGATGCGGTGCGGGGGTGGGGGTCGGGGATGGGTTGGCAGCTCCAGACCCTGGCCTGATGCACAGACTCCTTCGCTCCCCAGGCTGTCGGCTGGCCTGCTGCGCCAGGCCACCTACACCACCACCCGCCTTGGCATCTACACGGTGCTGTTTGAGCGCCTGACCGGGGCTGACGGTACACCCCCTGGCTTTCTGCTGAAGGCCCTGATTGGCATGACTGCAGGTGCGACTGGGGCCTTTGTGGGAACGCCAGCTGAGGTGGTTCTTATCCGCATGACCGCCGATGGCCGGTGAGTTCCAGGTCTGAGCCTGCCCCAGCTCTGTTCCCTGGGATCTAGAATCCGAGGACTACTTATCCCTGGTCTGGAGCAGAGCATTAACGTCCGTGTTCTGGCCCCCCTTTCTTTGCTCCTGTGGGGCAGAGTGGTCTATCCTGAGCTTGGCCTCTCCCCGCCTTCCCACCAGGCTTCCCCCTGACCAGCGCCGTGGCTACAAAAACGTGTTTAATGCCCTGATTCGAATCGCCCGGGAGGAAGGGGTCCCCACACTGTGGAGGGTGAGTGAAGGGGCTGGAGACCTTGGGGGCTTGTAGGGGCGGGTCGTGGCCGTCCCTGACAGCACCCCCCCCCACAGGGCTGCATCCCCACCATGGCTCGCGCTGTCGTTGTCAACGCGGCCCAGCTCGCCTCCTACTCCCAATCCAAGCAGTTCTTACTGGACTCAGGTGAGCCCCGGAACGGGGACCCCCGGCCGGGCCCGGGCCAACTCCGCGCTGACCGCCGTCTCTGCTTCGCCTCCCCCAGGCTACTTCTCTGACAACATCCTGTGCCACTTCTGCGCCAGCATGATCAGCGGCCTGGTCACCACCGCTGCCTCCATGCCGGTGGACATCGTCAAGACGCGGTGAGCGTGCGGGCTGGGGCCCAGGGACGTGTGGGAGGGCCCGCTTTGTGTCTCTCACGCCCCTGCCTCCTCTCCTGCAGGATTCAGAACATGAGGATGGTTGACGGGAAGCCGGAATACAAGAACGGGCTGGTGAGGAAGTGGGGCTGGAGGAGGGGATGCTCTGGGAGTGCAGGGAGGGCGGTGGGGAAGCTGGACATGGCCCTGGAAGCCAGGTCCTACCCTGGCGCCCTGCCTCCTGTTTAGGATGTGCTGGTGAAGGTTGTCCGCTACGAGGGCTTCTTCAGCTTGTGGAAGGGCTTCACACCGTACTATGCCCGCCTGGGCCCCCACACCGTCCTCACCTTCATCTTCTTGGAGCAGATGAACAAGGCTTACAAGCGTCTCTTTCTCAGTGGCTGAGGCAGGCGAGGGGCCCGGGGCCAGGGTGCCAGGGCTCCCCCTTACCCGTTGCTCCCACAGTCAGTGTGCCCCCGGGGGCCTGGACTCTGCTGCCCTGGGCCCTTCTATTTATTTCCCCTCCACGGTGTGGTTCCCTCCTCTGCGGTAAAGGACTCTGGTCTGTCCTGCCCCTGCGCCACCTTGCCCTCCTTGTTCTGATCCTCACGATCTCTCTGCCCTCGGCTGTGTCTCGGCTGGGGGGTGGGGGCAGTGGCTGGGAAACTGCCTGAAGCTCTCCGGCCTCCTCCGGGGTGTTAGTTTCGGGCATGTAGGACAGTGGAAGGTCCCCCTTCTCGGTGGGTAACCCAAGGCAGGGCTGAGGGCACAGGAGATGGCAGAAGCTGTCAGGATGGCCAAAAGGCCTGCCGCAGGAGGACGTGACCTTCCACCTCACTGAGGACCTGATCAATAAATTGGATTGATGACAGCACCCCCAGATCTGTACAGTTGCAGGGGTGGGAGGGGAGGCAGCTGGACAAGGAAGCAGAGGTCCCGGGAACACAGGAACTGGAGTTTTAAAGAAAAGGTGTTAAAGGAAAGGCGCTTGCCCGTTTTATGCAAACGCTACATCAGTCTGTCTGGGTGCGGTGGCAGCAACCGACAGGTAAGGAAAACCGACATGCACACCCCGCGTGTTGCTTCCCAGCCACTTGCCCAAGAACGTCAGGGGCGTGAGTCATCTCTCGGAATCCCCAGGAAAAGCCTCCGCAGCCTGGTGACTTGGGCAGAAAAGGGGACAGTCTGAGACGGGAAGGCTGAGCCGTGGGGGCAGGTGCCCAGAGCCGGGAGGCTTAAAACGGGGGGGGGACGGGGACATTGGCCGGAGACTTGATCCGAGCCCCACCCTGCGGAGAGTGATGTGTCTCCAAACATCTCTTGGGGCGTCAGAGGGCACAGGAAGGTCAACTGGAAGGAGGGCTGGGCAGCGTGAGGCCCGAAGTCTTGTGAGCCTGGCCAGGGACAGGCAGGCAGTAGGTGGGAACTGTTCCCTTGGCAGAGTCTCCTCAGGAGGAGGAGAGGAGGAGCTCGGCAGCCCGGCACCCCGGCTGGGCCCTCCCACCTCTGCCTTCCTCTTATTCACTCCTGGCGCTTGCTGGCCTGGGCCACGGTGGAGCCTGGGCCGTGTCCTTAAGAGGTTCCAGGTCCACAGGGAGAGATGGCCCAGGGGCAGGTGGGGGCGGGAGTGGAGCAGTGGACCGCTGCAGGGTAATGTGGAGGCCCTGGCCCTGCCTGGAGGAGAGAGCCATGCTGGTGGCGGTCAGGTGGATGGGGCAGCACACCTGCCCGACAGGAGAGCGAAGCGTCCGAGGGGAAACCCAGGATGGGGGGGAGAGAGGGGCAGGTGATCTCAGAGCTTGCAGCAGCGGACCATGGGGCATGGAGAACCCGTTGTAAGACGTCAGCCGGGTGAGTGCGTAGAAGCCCTTAATGGTCAGGCTCCAGATTTGTCCTCTCTCCAGGGGAGACTTCCAAGCAGGGCAGGTGCAGTCGGGCTTTGAGGCCTGGGTCACCTGGAGAAGGGGGTTCTCAGCCCGGGGTGGCTCAGCTTTCTCTCCCATTTTCTGTGCCCCCAGCCTTGATTTGGGCTGGAGACACCACAGGAGAGACAGCCCACTCAGTGCAGTGAGAGGAAATGGCAGTCTAGGGGAGCAGGGGAGAAGCAGGTTCTGGTATGCGAGCCGGACACCTGCCTGGGACAGCTCGGCGCTGAGCAGAACCCACCACAATGGCCCACGCCGTCCGGCCCACACCCACAGGGCCGCTGGCCTGGGCAGGGCGGGAGGCCGTGGGTGCGGGCAGGTGCCCACGTTGGCTCCTAGGCGGCCCGGGGCAGACACACCTCGGCAGGGGCCGCTCCAGGGAAACCTGTGGGTTTTGAGCTGGTCCTAGTGCTTGCAGTGGCCTGGCGGGCAGCACCGCAGGGTGAGAGGGGGCACCCCAGGCTGGTGAGCTTTTGTGGGTGAGTGATCCAACTTGGGTGGGGGCAGGTGGGGCTTCAGACGTGTGAATGACAAGTGCCCTGGACACTCTTCGTCTCCAAAGGAAACAGGTTTTTTTGAAGTTACCTTTTTATTCTCCAAATAACATACAACGGTGGAAAACTACAAAATGCTCAACAGAAAAAGGAAAGGAAACCACCATGTTTACGCTCCCCGGGGACGATCAGGGCTCACATCTTGATACAGATCTTTCCCAGTTCCCTTCGGTACACGCGTCTGAGAATCCTGCCCTGTTCCCTTTCCTTTTTCCTCAAACTTCCTCCAAAGTGATGGTAATGACCTAGTGGTTTGTGAACCCCTCCTGCAGCATAGGGAGCTTTGTTCTATGACCCACCCTGCTCCTCTCCACCCCTGCTGCTTCGCTGAGGTTGTGCGTGTGGTACCACGCTTCTGATAAAAGTGACTAAATCTCCCCCTGACCCTGTGCTCCTTGCCCGCCCACCCCCAGCTAGATCCCAGTACAAAAGGCCATCACAGCCTCCGTGGGTCCCCAAACCAGCCCCCCTCAGAGACTGTGGCCAGTATACCTAATGCCCACTGTTCCCAGCAGGTCCTGACCCCGGCCCAGACTCAGGGCAGAGGGCCGCCGTCCTGCCTGGAGGGGCCCCACATGACCATCAGCCCGTACCCACAGGAAGAGGCTGGAGCGGAAAATGGGGAGTGAGCCTTGAAAGAAAAGCAGCCAGGCCCGGGGCATGGTCACTTGCTTTCCCCTCTGCAGCTCCAGATGTGTGGTGTGCGTGGCTGTGGCCAGGGCCCGTGGCCCTGTGGGCTGGGCCCAAGCCAGCAGCCGGATAAGGACCACAGAGGCAAACAGAAGCCAGAGGAGACCCAAAACATAGAAGCCCAGGGGGAGGAGACAGCAGAAGTCAGGGTTGAGCAAAGGGTCATTTCTGGAGCTCTCCAAATTCCCTTGAACCACCTCGTGGGCCTTTGGGAGGTAGACAAAGGAGGTGGTTGTTGGGTATTGCAAAATAGTAGGGAGTGAGGTTGATTCTGGGATCTCAGATGTGGTCAGTTCAGACAAGATTAGGGTTGTGGTGGGCTCCGGGGTGGTGGGGGTTGTGGTGGGGGGCGTGGTGGGCTCTGGGGGGGGGGGGGGGGGGGCGGGGGGGGGGGGGGGGTGGAGGGTGTCGTAGTTTCCAGGCTGGTGGGGAGCATGGGCTCTGGAGTGGTCATGGTCATGGTGGAGGTCGTGGGGTGGGGCATGGTGGGCTTCAGGGTGGTGGGGGGTTTGGTGGAGGGTGGGGGATAGGGCATGCTGGACATGCTGGGCTCTGGGGCAGTTGGGAATCTGCTCTGTTTCTTCGTGGACTCCAGGGTGTAAGACAGATGGGACATCTGGTGGTCTGGAGAAGCAGTGGATGCCGAGTGGAGGGGGGCCCGGTGGGTTGTGTGGGCTCTGGTGTCGGTGGAGAAGCTGACCACAGCCCTGGTGGCAGGTACCTTTCCCACCTCTTCTTCTTCATAGTCATCATAACCTAGGTCAACCCCGTCCCCGAGAATGGAGCAGCCCTTCCCTGGGTAGGTGTAGACGGGTGTGTTGTATGGGTTGACGCATTGCACGCTCCCCACGTTGGGAGTCATGGCCTTGACGTCGACACCCTCCTTCCATAAGTAGACATTATTGGAGTTGTCCTGCAGCCAGCGAGCGAAATAGAGGATCTCGCAGTCACAGGCCCAGGGGTTGTTGTGGAGAAAGGCGAAAGGGAGGAGGAGGTCCCCGAAGAAGCCCTTTGGGATGGTGCGCAGCCAGTTCCCTTGGAGGTAGAGGGTGTCGAGCTCCCCCAAGCCATCCAGGAGCCCTGGGGGCAGCTCATTCAACTTGTTGTCGGCCAGATTGAGCTTCCTCAGCTGGGCCACGGGCCTCAGGAGCCCCGGGGGCAGAGTCCTGAGCTTGTTGCCGCGCAGGTAGAGCTCATGGAGCCGGCTCAGGCCGTTCAGAGCACCAGGAGACAGCGCGGTCAGCTCGTTGTAGGAGGCGTCCAGGGTGGTGAGGGCTGGCAGGGCCTGTCCTAGCAAAGGCAGGCTCTTCAGCTTATTGTGGGAGACGTCCAGGGTCTCCAGCTGTGGCAGCACCCCGTCCGTGTGCAGGGTGGTCAGCTGGCTTTGACGCAGGTACAGCTGTGCGAGCTGGGTCAGGGACGCCACGGATGCTGTGGAGAAGGTGCCCAGGGGGTTCTCGCCCAGGTGAAGGATGGCTGTGTCTCTGGGCAGATCTGGAGGCAGTGCCTTCTGCCCCCTGTTGTCACAGTTCACTTCCAGCAGCCTGGTCACCTTGGAGACCTCACAGAGCAACTGGGGGTGTGAGGGGCGCGGCAGCAGAAGCAGCAACAGGAGGAGAGGCATGGGGACCTGGGGGTCATGGGAACACACGTGGGCACCTCGTGGGCGCTGGGCGTTATTCCTCCAGACTCTAGCCCCTGCTGCAGCCTCGGGGATCCCTCCAGAAACGCAGCCCCCAGATTCCTGCCCTCCCCACTGCCCTCTCCCGCCCTTGCCCCCAGAAGCCTAAACCGCTAGCCCCACGTCCTAGGTTCTTCTCCCTCCCTCAGCGGCCCTGTCCCCCAGCCCCAACTCCAGCTTACAGGCAGGCGGGAGGACCTCCGAGGGCACAGAGCTGCTCGCAGGGTGTGACTGCCGTCTCTCTCCAGCCCCAGGGAGGGCCTGGGCAGTGGCAGGAAGGGGATGGGGATGGGGAGGAAGTGCCCGCCTGATAGAGATGCCCTCCTGTGGCCTGGGAGCAGTGTCCCTCCCGGACACAGGCCCTTATCACCTCCTTCCACAGCCGTCCCCAGCCCTCCTTGTGGCGCTCTTCCCCCGCCTTCCATCTACACAGGACAGATTGGGAGTGGACCCCTCCAACCACCCCCGTCCCCCGGCTTCTACACCTCCCCAGCTGCCACTCACTCGCCCTTCCCACTTGCCAATTTTAACCCTTGCCGCCCTCTGCCTTTCTCCCTCTCTAGCACGGTTCCCCCACCCACTGGCTCCGTTGTGGCCAAGGTCACCAGTGTCCCCCACCCTTCTACACCCACCGGCACGTCTCCATTACGATCCTGTTTTCTGCAGCCTGCAGACCCACGGCCTCTCCCACCTTGGGCCTCATGCCGCTCACCTCCCTCTTAACCTCTCTGGCTGACGTTCCCCAGTCTTTGTAGACTCCTTCCTCTGTCCTTCCTGGAGAGTCAGCCTGCCCCCAGAGTTTGGTCTTTGGTCCTCTCCTTTTCTTCTGCTACGCAGACACCTCACGTTACCCTCATTCATTCATTCCCTTGCTGTCAACCACCATACACCCACCCCAGTGACTCTCCTCTACTCAGACCCAGACCCCTCTCCGGAGACCCAAAGCCCTAGGTCCCACTGCCTTTTGGATTCCTTGGGTGTCCCACAAGCATTAAAACAACATGTTCAAAACTAATCTCACCATCTCTCTCCAAATAGCTAACCCTCCTGTGTTGTCCAGCCCAGTGAATGGGACCATCGTCCGCCCATTTAGCCACTCAGTCAATACAAACAGAAACCCCGATGGTCATCCTTAACTCGTTCCCTCCTTCATTCCCCATCCAACCTGCCACCAAGTCCTGCTGGTTTTACCTCCTAATCTCTCTCTGGAATCCACTTTCCATCCCCACTGCCACCATTCCCAGTCCAGGACACCAGCTCTTCTCTATGGCTTCACTGCAACAGCCTCCCAGCTGGTCTCCTGATGCTCTGACCTCCCTTCTCCCCATCCCCAGAACTGCAGATTTGTTCATATCCTTCCACTGTTTGAAACTCGTCAGGTGGCTCCCTATAGCTCTGAGATCCCTGACGTGGCATACAGGGTCCTGCATGATCTGACCCTTGCCTACCTGTCCAGCCCCATCTCTCAGCACTCCACCTTTCTTTCTTTCTTTCTTTCTTTTTTTTAAAGATTTTATTTATTTGTGAGAGAATGAGAGAGCAGGAGAGGGGGGGAAGGTCAGAGGGAGAAGCAGACTCCCCGCTGAGCAGGGAGCCCGATGCGGGACTCGATCCCGGGACTCCAGGATCATGACCCGAGCTGAAGGCAGTTGCCCAACCAACTGAGCCACCCAGGGGCCCTCAGCACTCCACCTTTCACTCTAGTAGATCATTTTGTTTCTTTCTTGTGCCTGGGCTCTCTTTTCACCCCTCACCCGCTTCCGCCCAACCCTTACTTATCTAGAGAGTCCCAGCCCAGAATGTCTTCCTCTGGAAAGCCTTTTTAAGACTTCCCAAGACTTGGGGCACCTGAGTGGCTCAGTCGTTAAGCGTCTGCCTTCGGCTCAGGTCATGATCCCGGGGTCCTGGGATTGAGCCCCGCATCGGGCTCCCTGCTCGGCAGGAAGCCTGCTTCTCCCTCTCACACTTCTGCTTGTGTTCCTTTCTCTCACTGTCTCTCTGTCAAATAAATAAATAAAAATCTTAAAAAAAAAAAAAAAAGACTTCCCAAGACTTGGGGCACCTGGCTGGCTCAGTTGGTGGAGCATGTGACTCTTGATCTTGGGGTCATGAGTTTGAGCCCCACGTTGGGCACAGAAATTACTTCAAAACAAAACTTCCCGAGACCAAATGAGGTGCCTATTTCAGAGAGTCAGCTACCATGTCCATTGGTCCACCACCCCTTCTAATGATTAAAATGCCCCACCGACTCTCCCCCAGCAGGGGCGTCACGCAACCACATGAGTCTGCCCCTGTCTGCTCCTTTCACCACAAGCCCAATGCAGTTAATCCGTACATATGCCATTTATATAATTTGCCCACTGCAAAAAGTACTTGAGAACATGGAGAAAACAAGGAATCAAGCATCAGGAAGTGTGTGAGAGAGAGGCCGTGAGGTGGAGTGGGGCCCCTGGAGTTGCTGACTGTTGGTGTATTGGTATCAGGGTTTTTTGTTGTAAGCAACAGAAAACATCCTGGTGAGTTTAGGATGAAAGGGAATTTGTTAAACATACATTGGCCACTTTATAGACTTCCCAGTAAGGGCCAGACAACCAGACTTGGAACTGTGTAGCCCGGAACAGAATCAAGCTGCAGAACCAGTCTGGTGAGCAAAACTCTGCTCCTGCTCCAAGACCAGATCACTGAAGCCCGCACTGCTCCAGCTGCTGAGCTAGAGACTCGGTGTTACCACAACCTCCCTGTGCAGAGAGAGGATCCTGGACCACCTCCTCCTCCTTTGTGGTACCGGCTCCTGATTCAAAGTCTGGGTGTCTGTTGGCTTAGTCATACTTCTGTGACCCAGCTGCAAGGAAATCTGGGAAAGCAAGTCTGGTGGTTTCAGGTTTTGTAATAGGCCGATTCTGCTTCTCCAAATATTCCTAAATTGAAGGTTTTTGCAGACACAGAAAAGGGATTCATATGCTTTGGAACCTACTGAAAGGATCCTATATTTCATTTTCTTCACATGTTAATGTTCTGAATTTTTTTTTCTAATTTCACATCTTTGAATGCTTGGGATTAAAATTACTTGACCATTATGAATTATTCTTTTAATATAATTCTAGGTTGGTTTGCCCACATTTTACTTAGACCTTTTACATCTAAGTTAGAAAATAGAAGTGACTTGTAGATTTCTTTTGAGCGGCTTTGTCTTTTTTCTATTTGCTTCTTTGGTTTTGTTACCAGAGTTATGCTGGCTTTAGAAATTAAGTTGGAAAATTTTATATTCTCTGGAAAAGTTAGAGATCATAGGGATTTTCCATTCAATGCAGGGTTGGTGGAATTCACCTATAAAACCATCTGGACTTGATGCCATTTGGGGGATAGCTTCTGGAATACCTTTCCAATTTCTATAATTTTTGGTCTGTTGAGGTTTCTTGGGTCAATTTTGATCTTGAGTCAATTTTGGTAATTGATAGTTTCCCATAAAATATCTATTTCATGTGGCTATTCAAATTTATTATTGCAGGTTTGAACACTTATACTTTTATCATTTGTTAAAATCTCTATATCTGTAGTCATGAGCCCTAATGTTGTTTGTCTTTTCTCTCTCTCTTCCTCCCCACCCCCTCTTTTTTTCCTCACTGGACTTGCCAAGGATTATTCTATTTTACTGGACTAGTCAACGAACCAGATTTTTAAAAAAGATTTTACTTATTTATTTGATAGAGAGAGAGAGAGCACAGCAGGGGGAGCGGCAGGCAGAAGGAGAGGGAGAAGCAGATTCCTCGCTGACCAAGGAGCTTGATGCGGGACTCGATCCCAGGACCCTGAGATCATGACCTGAGCTGAAGGCAGACACTCAACTGACTGAGCCACCCAGGTGCCCCAAAGAACCAGATTTATTAGTTGTACTAGTCAATTGCTTTTTTTTCCCTCTTCAGTGATAAATGTCTGCTTCCACCTTTAATAATTCTTACTTTGAGCTTATTTTCACGTTCTCTTCCTACCTTCTTGAGTTGAAATCTTAGTTCACTTATTTTCTTTTTTTTAATTTTTTTTTATTGTTCTGTTAATCACCATACATTACATCATTAGTTTTTGATGTAGTGTTCCATGATTCATTGTTTGTGCATAACACCCAGTGCTCCACGCAGAACGTGCCCTCTTTAATACCCATCACCAGGCTAACCCATCCCCCCACCCCCTCCCCTCTAGAAACCTCAGTTTGTTTTTCAGAGTCCATCGTCTCTCATGGTTCGTCTCCCCCTCCGACTTACTCCCTTTCATTCTTCCACTCCTGCTATCTTCTTCTTTTTCGTTTTTCTTAACATATGTCGCATTATTTGTTTCAGAAGTACAGGTCTGTGATTCAACAGTCTTGCACAATTCACAGCGCTCACCATAGCACATACCCTCCCCAATGTCTATCACCCAGCCACCCCATCCCTCCACCCCCTACCACTCCAGCAACCCTCAGTTTGTTTCCTGAGGTTAAAAATTCCTCATATCAGCGAGGTCATATGACACATGTCTTTCTCTGATTGACTTATTTCACTCAGCATAACCTCCAGTTCCATCCATGTCGTTGCAAATGGCAAGATCTCGTTCCTTTTGATGGCTGCATAATATTCCATTGTGTATATATACCACCTCTTCTTTATCCATTCATCTGTCGATGGACATCTTGGCTCTTTCCACAGTTTGGCTATTGTGGACATTGCTGCTATAAACATCGGCGTGCACGTACCCCTTCAGATCCCTACATTTGTATCTTTGGGGTAAATACCCAGTAGTGCAATTGCTGGATCGTACGGTAGCTCTATTTTCAACTGTTTGAGGAACCTCCATACTGTTTTCCAGAGTGGCTGCACCAGCTTGCATTCCCACCAACAGTGTAGGAGGGTTCCCCTTTCTCCGCATCCCCGCCAACATCTGTCGTTTCCTGACTTGTGAATTCTAGCCATTCTGACGGGTGTGAGGTGGTATCTCATTGAGGTTTTGATT